TCATCAGGGCGATGAGTATGAAGATTTCTGTCTTCTGGGTTGTTGCGCCGTGTAGTCTGGTCGATGTTAACCAACGTTTCAGAGGTCATACTGCCTCCGTCATCAGGGCGATTCTTAGTATGAAGATTTCTGTCTTCTGGGTTGTTGCGCCGTGTAGTCTGGTCGATGGTTACCAACGTTTCAGAGGTCATACTGCCCCCGTCATCAGGGCGATGAATCGCCCAGAGTGTATTCATACAGACGTTTTGATGTTGCCTTGTCTCGAAATGTATACATTGAGAAACTTCTGAATAGTATGATGTCATTTTCGAGAAGCTTCTGCAACAGCCCGGATCACTATTCATCAAATATTACTAACATAACACTATATTTTTCGTAGGCATACACACAATTGATTACTTCTAAGATAGATTGGAACAATTACATTTTAAATGACCCCTGTATATACAATACTTTATGTATAATCTTCGTTACCTTTTAGTTTTCATTATATTAGATAGAGCTACAATATGACACCAACATAAGCTGTTGCTTTGTTTTACAGTTTTCTCGGGCGCCGTGGAAGTATTAAGTCTCACTTTATTAAACTGTGTTCATGCAGTTGGATCGCGTTGTAATTATTTTTGCACGTTTGCTAAGAGTACCGAGGAAAAGAGTTTCTCACTTAATCAAGGAGTTTCCCGCGACGTTATCTTTGAGTCTAGAGTCATTTAAAACATATTCTTAAGTAATGGAATGCACGGAAAAATTCCGATTGTGTATAAGAAGATTATGCACAGCGCTTGGTTCCTTAACACACGTAAATATACTTCTTCGTATAACTACACTTTTAGTGGTTCATTGGTACTTTGATGTTTCTTTCTCGTTAACCACAACACATTTTTCTCAGCAAAATAGTCTTCGATTTCTTCTAACGATTTTCCTTTAGTCTCTGGGAAGAAGAGGTATACGAATAATGTTCCAATTATTGAAGATATGCCGAACATCCAAAACACGCCGTGAGATCCCATCGTTTGCAACATGAACGGAAATACTTTAGCTATAAAAAATAAAGAAAGATTAAATATAGCAAAGATGTAACCACCAAAAGATCCTCGTATTTTTACTGGCAGTAATTCACCAATGGCGATTCCTGGCAAGACAAAAAATCCGACCGTGTTGGTGGCTACGTAGGCGAGGATGAAGCCGGCTATGATCCAAGTGTCCGATGGTTCCGATGAAGGGTGACGGTAGTACAAGAACGTTCCAACTCCTAAGGCTGCAGCCGATGACCCTAGGCCGGAAAAGAGTGCTAGCGGACGACGGCCAACCCAGAGGAGAAGGAAACAGGCGATGATGATAAAGATGAGACGGCACACTGCCGTGAGGACGGCTACTAGGAAAATGTCAATGCCTCCAGCTTCGTTTTCTGTTTCGGAAATGAGATTAACTGCGTAAAATATGACGAGGTAGGTGCCAGAGATGATTTGGATGAGGTTGAACACGTTGATGATGGCAACTGGTTTGAGAATTTGCGGTCTGAAGAACATCTTCCAGCTGGAGACGGACTGGTGGCGGATTGCCTCCTCCTCCTCTCTATGAAGCCGGCTAACCAGCTGCTGCAACTCCAGTTTCGCCTGTGGAAACAAATGCTCGTAAGCCTCACACGTTTTCACAGCCATAATCATGTTACGAGATATGGGGAGAAACGAACAATTCATTAGGAAGTCAAACAGTCTTTCTGGCGAAACGCACCAACACAAAACCGACCGCGTGACTCCAGATTTCGTCATCGCTTGAACGGCGCTGCCCTACAGTTAAGCGTTACACGAACTGGCTGTTATGTTAGGAGTAGATTTAACGAACCTGTTTAGATTACAGAATCAAATGACGTCGAATAAGGTAGATACCATAAATGAAGTATAAGAAACTGGAAAGAGTCGATCATGGCCTACTTTAAGAGAGTATTCCAGTATTTGGCGGTAGATATTTAGCAAGACTTCCAAGAAAATTGTTTTATATTATGAACCTGTTATTGCATGATGAACAGCTTTATGAAAATTTTTATTACATATCATGTAAATTACGGATTTAAAGGAACGAAATAAAACTCGTCCGACGATTGTGAGATCTTTTTAAATGCTTTCGTTTTGTCCCCAACCTTACAAGAATGTCTACCATTATGTCTAGATTAGATAAGAAAACAATCTGAAACCATCTATTTGTGTTTTATCTAATTAGGACCCGCTACATTAATTAATTAGCTGAATGATTAAAGCAAAGCTCACTTTCTTAGCAACAGAACGATGCTTATTTTTAATAGTAAGGCCTATATGCTTCGAGGCGGAAAATACCAACCGTTTTTCTACCACTGTATGCTCCACGAAGCCAGTTGAGGGCTTTGCCCGCTTCTTCCACACGGTTATTTCTGACGAGCCACACAGGACTCTCTGGCAGCAGGGAGAACGACAAAAGTGACAGCAATGGTAATATTGTCGCCAGCCACGCCACTGTCTGCCAGTGCAGTGTTGCTCCCAGTACGTAGACGACGAGGATGCCCATCGAGTAGCTGACGTAGGGGATGCTGGACAGAAGACCGCGCATGCCGGGCTCCGCCACCTCGCCCAGAAACACCTGTTCACAGCACAACATTTCACCGCCTCGGTTTTCCATCCCCCATGCACAAATCTAACTTAACGCCATGAAGTAGTAAAGTTTTTCTTGAGAGCTAATAGTCGATCAGATATTCGGTCAATTTTCCGTCTTTTACGGATCCCTAAGGTTAATTGTCGTGTTGTCAAGAGCCTGCCACAGGATTCTATCCTGAGCCACGTGGATTATTTATTTGTGATTCATTTTAATATTGTTATCCCACGTTTTCTTGTTCTTCAGGGCGATTCAAAAGTCTCCATACATCTGTCAGAAGAAGAAGTGTTGAAGTAGGAAGTGATCCAATAGTTCCTGTGCATACACAAGCCCCAGGTGACTTGTTTTTCACCTGGCTCTATGTCCGTGACCAACACTCGTAACTTGCAACCGTAAACAAGCTCATCACGAGATATGTGTTCTTGCAGGTGCACAGGGACTACTGAATCACTTGTTTAATTTTGTGTTCAGTAAATATTTGCATTGAAAAGAGTAAGTTGTTTGTGATGGCAAGTACCTACCTGTCCCGGCGCCGCGGAGAGGCCCACAGCCAGTCCGGCCATGATTCTGCCTGTTAGGACGATGGCGTGGCTCTGAGCCACCGCGATCATGACCCACCCCAGTGTGAGGGGTAGGATGCAAATCTGCAGTACGCGTCGGCGACCCCATCTGTCCATCATGAGGCCGCTCATAAAACTCCCCACGGGCGTCGCGGCAGAATGCACACTTGCTGAGAATTATGATTCACATGAGAATACACGATTTTGTGGTAAATGTAAACAGTTGGGAAAACGTGTGGGCTGGTGGTGACTCAAGTCTTTTAAAGGAGAACACGAAATTGTAACTCATACTGCCTTGATCCATATTAATATTATCTTTCTATCTCTTCCTTGGTCTTGTAATTGAATGTTTTCTACAAGCCTTCCCACTAAAACTCTGTATTCATTTATCGTGTGTTTCACGTATCAAATCCTTTGCAAAGTAAAAGTTGTAATCAGAGGCGGGGCATTTATGTTGGCCGTCTTAGCCTGGCTGACACGGTTAATATGAACTCTTCGCTCGCGGTAGTAACACTACGAATTAAAGAATGTGGTGACTATTTTTAAAAAGGTGTAACTTGCTGCACCAGTTTCAATTTATTGCGTTTCAGAATCACCGAATATTGCGTGTAGATTAATTTATTTCCCTGCTTGTTTAGAGGCGTAATCTGTGATATATGACATGAGTAATGACTTTCATTCTGATGGCACGTAGGATGGTATGTTGACTTCGAAACATCTGGCATGATGTAGAGCACTGTGAAGTGACTAACCGTGTCCTCCAGGACTGTTAATACACCGCTTTAATCCTGACCTCTTAGTTTGATTTCCCATGGATATAAAGTATGAGAACTATTATGCAATTGGGTCACTAGCTACTGTAGAACTGGGCCACATCAATGTACTAGCGTAGTACCTAGGTTGATTGTTGTGCTATGCTGGGCGCATGGTATTCACCCTGCCAGACGTCTGTGATCTGTCTGAACCAAATGTCTAGGCTTCTGATTCTTTCCGTAGTTTCCACTTTGTATGGTAGGTTATGAGAGCCTTCCTACTTCATGACCACGAACTCGGTTATTTCTTTGTTTGTTTTACTAAGCTGTTGACCTGCTCAGTTATTTAGTGCAACATGAGACTAGAGAATATGTCCTACTTTCGACAACACGAACTGATAAGCCTCTGATAAGGTTACTGAGACCTAGATAGCCTGAAACCTGTTACCACCGAAACAGGCACCGTACTGGTTGTCTTGCCTGTTATTTGGTCCGGTAGTGGCAACGTCAATCCATCTATCCAGAAAGTTGAACTTCCAGTCCGTCATGTTGCTTGGCGACACAGATATGTCTGGACGAGATGACGTGTGTCCAGGATGCCTGACTTTGTAAAGTCTTGATAAAATTTGGTTCCTGGGCTCAACTGTTTCAGTTATCATCATCACCTGTGGCTCTTAACATTTATAACAGTGGTACGTTATTAACCTATATAGTGTTTAAAGCGGCCGAAGCGCGTGGCTTACTTCTGCATTCTCTGTATATTTTTTCTCGCGTCTTGATGATTCGGCACATACGTGAATTTACCTATTATTATTCTTATTAAATTTTTGCGTATTATATCCATTCACAGAATAAAACATTTACTGCATGCTGGCTTCATCAAGGCATTCCATCTACAGCACACAACGCATTTTATCCTCTTAAACATAAGAGAAACGAAGATGGACACAGACGTAATAAGAACGCAAAGAAACAGCTGAGTATGAAAGAGTGACCTAGATATGACAGTGCACACCTCAAATAAATTTTAGTTGGTTGAGGGGTCGTAAAGGTCAATACCCTATGTGACGTCTCTGGAAGGGCCAGAGTAATGTGACGACAAATGACGATCGTCTAATCTTGTCCTCTGACCCTCCCTCGCTTGTAACTTCCGCAAATGTCCATCACTAGTAAAACAATGCACGATTTGAATAATTGGCATTTAACCTATTAAAACGACACCATCCAGTGTGATGTGTGACTGCATATCCCATCTGCAATGTTCGGTGCGATGAGGTACTAACAGTTACGAGATTTTTTTTATCCGAGAACTTTTAGGATATATTCATTTTCCTAATTTAAGATTGGCCTTGTCCACAGCGTTTCGGAGAATGACTGTTTTTGACTTCACTTAGAAGGAAACTATATGTTTGGGGGGTGGGGGTAGTTAGGAAGTATGCAATTAATGCACTTTATTTTTGCTCGTTTCGTAATAAATATTTCTGTCGACCTGTTTTCACTCATCTCTTTGACGTGACACATCTCTGATTTATATTTTTACTGCCATCCTCTACTGATGTTTGAGTGAATACTGTCCTTGAAGGTAAGGATAGTATAAATTCTGTACAATAGAAGATATCTAAGTTCCGGGGTCCCAGGCCAGACAATCAACACAGATACCTTTTTGAATAAGGGTTTATGAAACCTGTACAGTAGAGTAAACCTATATCGATGCCTTGGCATTCCATGATAGTCAGTGAAAGGATTCCTGTTCTGAGTCTGAAGAAGTATTTGTAAAATCTGTTGAATAGAGGAAGCTCGGGTTGGCGTGATTATTTACCGATCCATGAGCCTAGATCTTCGTCTGTGGGCAGCGTACTGTTGACGAACTGCAG